TAAAAAAACGCACCCATTAAAGTTTTTTTTATTGGATCTAAGTCAGTTAGTATACAATCTAATGTATATTTAGACTGAAATACACGAATAATAAAGTTTAAATGTGCGCATATTAATCAATAAATTGACTCATATGCTTTTAAGAATATCCCAACGCACATTGTAATAGTAATAGACGCATTTTAAATTATTTTGTTCCATTTATTTTAAGTTGTACATACACGCACACGCATGTTAAGTGTAGATGTAACGCATATTAGAGCAATAAGGTCCGATAGATACGTACTTGGAATTGGAAATAATTGACAAGTCAATTTCGATGTCAGCATTTTTTATATTTCCCATAATGGGAATATGTTAAAGTTGAATGGTCATTCAATCCTTAAAAAAACGCACTTTTTTTATTGGGTATACCGTATATATACGCATAATAAAGAGTTAACATGCGTATATTAATGAATAAATTGACGCATTTTCGTTTAAAAATCCTCCCACGCACATTCAAATATTGATATACGCATTTTAAATTATATGTGCTGCACGTGTTAAGTTATACATACACTCACACGCATGTTAAGTTTAATTGTAACGCATATTATAGCAATAAAGTCCGATAGATATGTACTTGGCATTGGAAATAAGTGACAAGTCAATTTCGATATCAGTAATTTTTTTATTTCCCAAAATGGGAATCTTTCGAAGTTGACTGGTCATTCAATATATTTAAAAAAATGCACCCGTTGATTTTTTTTTAATTGGGCCTAAGTCAGTGAGTGTACAATTTCTTTGCACATGAAGAATTTGCTATATAAACCCACCATTATGCTAGACTCAAACCTGTCACCTACAAACACATTTTTGCTTTTGTACTCTCCTTTTTACAGAGATTTTCAATGGCAGCCGAACTTCACTCTGAAATAGTTGGAAATCAACTTCGTATAGCACTGCGGTGGAATACCATTAGGGTTCGGGTGCTTCGAGTTGTTCGTCTCCCAGAAACAAAAGGTTCTGAAATAATCAAATTTATAGAGTGTGTACTTCACGATGTAGAGGTATTTTTTTTTTACTGTAATATAAATCTTAATATTTTATATTTCTAAAATTTATTGTTGATGCATATGTTTTTTTTTTAAATAATTTCAGGGAACTTTTATTCATATGCACATTCCACAATTGTTTGTGCAAAGGTGCTTCAACAAATTTGAGAAAGGAAAAGCTTATCTACTCAATAGATTTGGCGTGGCCTATAATTCCTACAGAAATAAAATCTCTACTCTCTGGTATATGCTGATGTTCTGTGATAGAACTCGTGCAGGATTATTGAAAGATGCTGATTTCCCAAAATATGTTTATGACCGAGAAGATTATAATTTCGATGAAGAGGTGATCTATTGCATACTTACATTGTTTTCCCTTTATTTTTTATATATAATTCTATTGATGTATTTACAGTTTACTAACTTTCACGAATTGATGGATCAACAGGTGCCTGACGCTCCGGTTGGAAATCTGGCTAATGAGGATTGAATCAATGAGGAGGCTGCGTAATAAGGATGAATAACGACGAAAATATCAAGATTTTATGTGTACTATGTTATTTGTTATTATTTTCGTCATACAATTTATTGATGAATGAAATTTCTATATTATCATTTTATGTTTATTATGATCTATTATGTCATCATTGACGCATTTTCTTTTAAGAATACCCCATCGCACATTGTCATATTAATAGATGCATTTTAAATTATGTTGCTCCATATATTAAGTTATACACACATACGCATTCTAACAATGGAAAGGATTTAAAAATGGAAGAAAAATATTTCAGTATATCAAAGATAAATTAAAAACATAAAAAAATAAAAATAAAAATATTGAAAAATATTTCAATATATCATATATATATTAGTCGATGTAACGCATATTCATTTAAAAATCCCCCACGCAAATTCAAATATTAATATACGCATTTTAAATTATATTTGTTGCACATGTTAAGTTATACATACACTCGCACGCATGTTAAGTGTAAATTGAACGCATATTAGAGCAACAATGCCCGATAGACATGTACTTGTTGGCATTGGAAATAAGTGACAAGTCAATTTCGATGTCAGCAATTTTTATATTTCCCATAATGGGAATCTTCTAAAGTTGACTGGTCATTCAATATGTAAAAAAACGCACCAATTGTTTTTTTTTATCGGGTCTAAGTCAGTTAATATACAATCTCATGCACATTAAGAATGAAAGACGCGCATAATAACGTGTTAACGTCCGCATTTTAGTGAATATAAATTGAAGCACATTATTTTAAGATTAAGAATACCCCATCGCACATTGTTATATTAATAGACGCATTTTAAACTATTTTGGTCCATATATTAATTTATTAGACATACATACGCATTCTAACAATGGAAAGGTATTTAAAAATGGAAGAAAAATATTTCCATATATCAACGATAAATTAAAAACGGAAAAAAAAAAACATTATTTGAATAATAATAGAAAACAGATTCTTCAATGGTTGCGTTTTATTAGGCGTCGAATAAGCAATTCATATTTATCTCAACCGCTAAAAAAATGCACTCATTCACGTACATTAATATCTTAACTAACACACACTAAAGTAGAAACGCACGCACCCTGTACGTTAATTGTGAACGTCAATTTATTTTTAAGTTCACTAAACGGTTAACATTGAATTTCTGCAATTGGTGAATTTTACCAAGTTATTCGTCTATAAAAGTGGAGTATCACCTTACCATACAGCATACATATTGAAACCGTGTCATTTTAGTTTTACAGACCATCATTCATTCTTCGTCATTTTCTTCACATTCATTAGGATGTTTACCCATCCTCATCATACTCGCCCTCCTTCTACTTCTTTGTCAATGTAGTTGATTACAATAACAACGCATTCTAAACATCCCATGGATCAAATACTATATCTCAACCCTGGAAGTTTATATGAGGATGTAAAGGAACTATTAGCGGAGCCGACATCATTTGAGTAGAGCACATGTTATCGTTGTTTTCATCTAAAGAAGCACATTTTAAGCCTGAAAGGATCTTCTTCTGTGGATCTAAATGCTAACTGATTTGGATATTCCATTTAGAGATCAACTTTGTCTGTAAGTTGAATATAACATGTGGGGCAGTCCAATACATCTGGATCAGTTAGATTTTAGATTCATAGAAGTCGATCTTTTCAGGTTTATAATGTGTTGTTTTAGCCCAGACATGCAGCAGGATCCTCTACTCCATTTTGAGATATATCTTTTGGTACCTTAATGCAGGCTTAACCAAAAGGAATATCTCCAAAAGATATACATACGCATTCTAACAATGGAAAGGATTTAAAAATGGAAGAAAAATATTTCAGTATATCAAAGATAAAATTAAAAACAGAAAAAAATAAAAATAAAAATATTGAAAAATATTTCAATATATCATACGCACATTTTATTGCCGTATTAGGCGTATTGGGCGTACGTGTTGCGCATGTTAAGCTTTTTGTTAGTTTTAAATTTTCAGGAATTGTTGTTTAATATTTTTCATATAATTAAAGTAATGGATGAGCTCATTGGCGAAATGGTAGAAGTCTTTGATTGAACCGATTTTGTCCAGGATTGAACCCCTATAAAGACTTAATCTTTTTATTATATTTTATTTGTTTTTTGTTTAATAAAATATAATAAACGCATCTTAAAGTGATATTTCGCGCACTTTAATTGTTTTCTCGACGCACATTAAACTTTTGGCTTTAAAAAATCTCGTATTTCGATGCAATCTAATTAAATGTATATTTACACGCATGTTGTTCTTGTAGCTAGCGCATGTAACAGAGCAAAACAAAGCACATTAAGTCTTTTATACCAATCCGTCTTTACGTAATACTCAAAGATATTTGATGTCAGAACTTTAAGACATTTGTAGTTGGGAAAACGGATAACATTGAATGGTCATTCAATGCCTTAAAAAGCGCACCCATTAAAGAAAATCTTAAAATATCTAATGTGTCTGTAAATCACGCAACATTCAAATCTCAAATCAGTGCATGTGATCAAGTTATTCGCCTATAAATTAGAAGGAAAAACACACAACTGAGCATCAGGTTATTGAAATGGCTATCTCTCACGTTTCTGCACGTACAGAAGAACCATCTTCATTTATTCCTTATCTTCTATGCCCTTTTCATTTTCCTCGCCCTCCAGCTTGTAGTGATTGTAACTAACTACAAAAACAACACATTCTAAACCTGAAACATTATTCGTCAATCTCAGCTGCAAGCTCATCATGCTGTAACCAAACATCATCCAAAGGCTGAGTTGAGCATTGTGGGTGGCTGGCGGTGTGTCGGATGTTGCCGGAACCAGAAGAGATGTCTTCAAAGTACTAGAAGAAATAAATATGTGCAATTGATTATGTATGTACCATTTTATCTGCAAATTATTTCATAATCAAACAAACGCACTTTTAAGTTTTGCAATCGCGCATATTAGACTTATTTTTAACGCATCCTATATTAACTATTAAATAAACGCATATTAGAAAAAGAAAGTGTTAAACATTGTCTTTGCCCAGATTACGCATATTAAGCTTTAATGTCGCGCAAGTTAAATGTTAATCGACGCATGTAAAGACTTTGGCATTTACCACGGACCAAAGTTTCTATACATAAACCAGCGCACATTCTGTTTCCGTATTACGCATATTAAGCTCTAATGTAGCGCACGTTAAAAGTGTAATCAACGCTGATTAAGAATTAACTGCACGCAGGTAAAGTATTAATGACACGCACTTTAAGCTAGTAGCAGTGATTGTTAAACACAAATCAGTGATAAAAACAAAAACTAGTAATAGCTGAACATTAAATTCAAGTATCTCAACTGTAAAAAGCGTTCTGAAATGAGTTAACTAAGTATTTGTGTTTCATATTTGCTATCTATTTTCGTTCTCGACTGTAAAGGCGTTGTAAAAATAGTCTGCTATGCCTTTTTCTTACCCTTTTGCTTGTCCTTATTTTTGGGGTTAAGTGGGCAAGTCCTGGTGTCATGTTGATCTCCTCTAACACCACAAAAATTGCACCTCCTGCCCTTTTCTTTTTCCATTGCCAACTCCTTGCTGCTTTTGATACGTTTGCTGCTGCCCTTGTTCTTTGCATGTTTCGGTGGAAGTATATTGATCTCTGAAATCTCTGTTGATCTACAAAAGTATTCTATAACAGTCTTCCTGCTGTGCTGAGGGGATAACTTTTCCTTTCCTGACATTAGCAGCCGTTTCTGTTCATTAATCACTTGTGAAAATGCAGCCAATTGCTCCATGTTTGAACCTGCTAGATCAATACAACAGTGTACATCTGCCCACAGTTTGTTCAGCATCATCTTCTTTTCATCCTTTGGTCCATTCTGATCATAAATGACACCATCTATTTCAAATGTAGCCTTTAAAGATGCATCCTTAGTCCATCGATTAACCACATACCTCAAAGGGATCTTTTCAAGGTCTCTAAAGACCACAAATATGTGTCTACACAACAGTCCAACCATCTCAAACATCTTGCAACTGCATTTGGCCTCATGGTCATTTAAATTGTGCACCATAGTAAATATTTTGTTCTTTCCATCCATAATATCATATAGTGCAACATTCCACCGTCTTCTCTAACACTGAAAACCATACATTTCAAACAGGAGGCACATATTTCTTCCTGAACTTGATAGAAAACAGTAATGGTGTAGATGATTGAAGCGTGTTTTTCGATCCCCAGAGGCGTCTTCATATCTGGATTGTAGCCTTCATTGTCACTGTTGTGCTTTGCGTTTGTGTTACGTTGTGATTTAAGAGCACTGTCAAAGTTCATCATGAATTCAACTAGGCTAGACTGTGGGCCAGTAAAACGGCTGTACGTGTAGTTCTCACTTTCGGAACGAGACGTTGTCCTGAGTAGACCCCCCATAAAGTCATCTCTAAAATAGGCTGGGATCCAATGGTTTCTAGCCTCAAACATAGTTGTAAACCAATTGTGTTCGACTAAGTTGTACTTTTCCATGAGCTCTCTCGTTTCTCAAAATCAGGAGGTTCCAAACATGATGTCCAAATGATTGAGTTCAGTTTGTTCTTGAACTCCTCATTCTTGTTCAACGTAGGACCCGCCTTTTCCCCAACTTTACACATAATGTGCCACATGCAGTAGCGATGCCTGGCTTGCTTGAAAACTCTTGGAATCGCCACTTTCATAGCTGGATCTTGATTAGTGACAATTATTCTTGGTTCCATACCCATTGCCTTTTTAAAATTCTCAAGGAGCCAAACATAAGACTCGATGTCTTCTTTCAACAATATTCCAACGCCAAATTTTTATACATTTTTTATGGTTATCAACTCCGGTAAAGGGTGTAAAAACCAGATCGTACCTACAAGACAAAAAGCGTCATCACAGTATACAGGTGTCAAACTGGCGCACTTAGAGCATTAGCGTGACGCACATTAAGTCTTAAAAATGCAGACACATGTACTGGAAGTCTAATTCTGGATGTTATTCATTAATATGCGCGACATTAGTGTTTAAGATGCGTGGTATAAAGCGACAATGTGCGCTTACTTATATTACAATTCTTTTCAAGTAAACAGTGAACATGTCTAAATCTTAACCTGGCTCAACATATCAAGCAATGCTTAATGTGAATTAATTAATGAAACGTACGCAAGAATGTGAATAGAATCATACCTGTTGGTTGAATATGTGGCATCAAAAGAGACAACATCTCCAAATGCAGCAAAATTCTTTTTTGACATTGGATCTGCCCAAAACAGTCTACTCATCTGCTCATCTTCATCAACTTCGTAGTCAAAAGCAAATGCAGGGCACATCTCTTGTTTTTTAATAAGATTATGCACGAGTATTTGTGCATAAGCACCCAATATGTATGCTCTGAGATCCCTTCTGACATTTTTAAAGTCCACTACAGTTGCCCCAACTTCAGAGCAATCCCCCACAATCTGAATGTATAAACCGTGTGATTTTGATGCTCCAATATTTGCCTTAGCACAATCTAGTATAAACTTCTGATGAACACTGGAGATGTTTCTATTTCCCTTTAGGAACTGCCTTGCAAGAACAGAAGACATGTTGTGATTGTGTTGTTCAATAAATGTCTTAACTTGGTATCCAGCTGCTCCAATGTACTTAAAAATAATCCTAGCTCTGCAACCAGTTCTATTTGAAACCCTCTGCCGCTTTGGATGCGAAGGACCTTCCCCTGCATCTGCAGTTGGTTTTGAGTGACAATGTTGAGCACCCGTATGCTTAAATCCCTCTCTATTGCAAACGATTTGCTTTTGAATTTTCGTCTCGTCGCGTGCTGTAGTGAGGGAACTAGACCTCATGTCAAACCCGACTTTGGCAGCATAATTGTTGTAGAATTCAATACCGGCATCCAATGTTTAAAAAATCATGTCAACCGCTGGTTTGATTTCATCTTCACAGTGCGGAGTCCAATACTGCGTCATTCCAGTAGATATGGTCAATGTATAACCGTTGCTGCTGCTGCTGGGGCTCAAACTGGGGTTGTTCAGAGATTGCAACTCACTGGGAACTGTAACACATAAGCATGAAGTTATTATTGCGTTGTTGTGAGCCTTTACGTGCGTAGTGTGAATACTTAATATGCGTTAATTTAATCAGATCATTGTCAATATGTCAAGTTTATAAAATACAAGAGTACGTGCGTCAGGTGAGCACTTAACGTGCGTCATGGTAATAGTTAGAGTGCGTATGTTGAACAGTTAACATACGTAAGTGTTTTTTAAAATGTTAGGTCATTAGTTAACGTGCGTCAGTGAGTCCATTAACATTAACATGTGTTTGGAAAGCAATGAACGTGCGTGTGTTTAACAGATAACATGCGTAAGGGTTCTTTAAAATTTTACGCCGGTAATTAACCGGCATCAGTGAAAACAGTAATATGTTCATCTGTAAAAATTAACATGCGGCTTTAGGCTCGGTATAATTAAAGTAGGTCAGTAATTCAGTTGCTAAGTTGCATGCATGTAGTTTTTTAATGTGCGTGTAATTAAGACAAGAAGGAGGCCAATACAAGAGCAGATAAAATTAATTCCAAATAAGCGATAAAATTCGTGTAATACCTTGATCGAATTCTTCCATTCTTGATCGGTTGACGTTGTTGCTGGGTTTAGGTTTTCATTTGAAGAATAAGCTATTGAACGATGAAGAGAATAGATTTTATTGTCAATTTCGTAGATATTGCAAAATCGTCTCAGATTAGAAAAGATCGGAAATTAGGAATCAATGATGAATTTTGAAAATGTGCAAAGAAGAAGAAGATCAGTAATTTTGAATTTTTTTTAATATAATCAAAAGGACCAAAATGCCCCTAATGAGCAATTCGCGTTCATATTTTGCTGATAATCTTATTCGTTGGATCAACTGCTACGTAAAGCTTAGATTCAACCTCATTTCTCACAGGAAGGACTAAATGCACGCAAGCCCTTCCCAATCCCTATATATATATATATATATATATATATATATATATATATATATAGGGAAGGGTTCAGGTGCGGGTATAGCTTCCCGTGCGGTTGTGCTGTTAAATATGAGCAGTTGATCAAATTTAGATCAACGACTCAAATCAATGAAAATTAAAAAAAAAAAAAAGAAAAAAAAAATGCTTGCCAAAGCCCAGTGTGCGAATACCAGGAAGGCGAGGAGGAGACTCATTCAACTCATCAACTTTATACTTTGAATTTGGATTTCTCCTTTTATTTTGCTTAGGAGTAGCGCAGCTTTGATGGAGGGTTTTGGCAAAGCCCAGGGCAAGTCGGAGGCTTGGTGCACCTTAAGTGTTAGATCTTAATCACAAACTCACGCACTTTAAGTACAAAACCCATACACATTAAGCACAACCTCACGCACATTAAGTACAAAACCCACACACTTTAAATATTAACTCACAGACTTTAAGTTTCAACAACCAAGTACAAAACTCACGCACATTAAGTACAAAATCCACGCACATTAAGCACAAACATCACGCACATTAAGCACAAAACTCACGCACTTTAAGTATTCACTCACAGACTTTAACTTTTAACAACTATTCACGTTAAGCACATCCCCACGCACATTAATCACAAAACACACGCACATTAAGCACAAAACTCACGCACATTAATCACAGATCCGCTCACCTTAATTTTGACCTAGATGCAAAAATTAAAAAATTTCCACCGCGTTTTTTTTTTAAACATTGATAATCCTTGACGTTGATTAAAGCGAGATGAATGGCTCAGATTAAACCGCACAACCGCACCTGAAGCCCTCACCCGCACGAGAACCTAAATCTATATATATATATATATATTTTTTTTTATTATTATTATTATTATTATTATTTTTTATTATTATTTTTTTTTGACAACAAACGTTTATTGGCAACGAATAGCCCGCCGCGTGGCAAAACCCCTGAGATCATACAAAAAGGCCAGCTTTGCCTGAGTAGGCAAAGCATGCAGAGAGGTAAAAATTCTCGATGAGTTACAATTTAGACTAGCTGTTGCAAGAGCGTCAGTTACATGATTAGCTTCCCTGTAAATATGTCTAATATTCGAACCCCAGATCGGATGTAAGATATGTATATATATATGTATATATATATATATACATATATATACACACACATATACATATATATATATATATATATATATATATATATATATATATATATATATAACCTCTTCTGTTCGTTTACTTTTCTAACGACAGTTGTATAAGCAATGGTAGATGAAAACACAAAATCTGATTACAATCATGTGGCATTCGTATATATAGTAGTGCCCTTCTAACTTCTAAGGAACGATTCTTATATAATACTTATTACACCACACTAATGTTGACTTTTCCTACTCTTCATTTCTTTTCCACTAAGCCTATCCTTTCTCTGTATTTCTTGACTTTCTTGGTTCTAGGATCTCCCTTGATTTCATCTGCCTCCAAGCTACCGGGCAATGAAACAGACAAAGTTTCACTCCTTGAATTCAAGAAAATGATCAAAGATGATCCATTTGGTGTCATGGCCTCTTGGAATGAGACCATTCATTTCTGTGAATGGCATGGTGTTTTGTGTGGCTGCCGCCACATGAGAGTCATGGTTGTATATCTCACTTCCTTGAAATTGTAGATTTTTCATACAACAATCTTGCGGGCAATATTCCATCCGAGCTTGGCACCCTAACTGATCTTCGAGCCCTTTCTTTTCATCACAACAACCTTAGTGGTAAAATCCCTCATTCTCTTGGGAATCTTTCATTGCTTAATTGTTTTGATGTCTCCATTAACAACTTATTTGGAGAAATACCTTATTCTCTATGTAGATTATCTGAACTACAATACCTTTTAGTTAGCCAAAATAATTTGAGTGGCACTATACCCCCTTCTCTATTCAACCATTCATCCATGTTGGCTATTGATATGGCACTGCTGGAAATCTCGCGTTTTCCGTCCAACAAATATTGGACGGAAAACGCAATATATTGGTCGGAAATGACGTTTTCGTCCAACATACCGACCAAAAGGAACGTTCGGAAAAACCTCCGTCGGAGATTCTGTCCAACTACAATTTTTGGTCGGAAATAGCGTCCAACGAACAAAAATTGGACGGAAATTCCGGAAAGTAACCCACCATTTTCAAAACGTGGGAACTTCCAACCAACTTTGTGCATCGGTCGGAAATTCCGTCCAACTACGTTCGTTGGTCGGAAATTCTGACCTAGCTTTGGACAGAAAACTCACCTATTATATTTTGTTATTTTCCTTCCAACCGTTGGTAGGAAAATCCTAAATCATATAGAATATTTTTATTATTTTTATATTACCATAATTTTATTTAATAACTGTTGTTAATAAGTTATGTCATCAACAAATTAATGAACACACTAAATTGAAAATTTGATAATATATTTAAACATCAAAATTATTTACAACAAAAATTATGTTCATGTTCATAAAAAAAAACATAAAAAAAAATATATACTACTTGATTGATACTCCGTACTACTTAAGTATGAAAATATACTTATTTGATACTACGTAAGTATGCTCGCTGCACCCAAATAAGCCTTCAAATCCGGCACTGCTTCAATGCTTTGATCAATGCAGCATCCACAACCTCCTTCAATGAAGTTGATCAAAAGTGTAGACCTTCACCAAAAATGGACCGTGATATAAGTAATCTAACACAGAATGAGTAGATACCTATGCATTTTACAAAATGACTAGAAAATTAAAGGAATTCCTTTTATGTTTAAGTAATCTAACACAGAAAAAATAGAAAACTTCTGAATTCTTACATCCTAATTCTAAAGTTTGTTTAGTAAATTAAAGGAATGTCTTCATCTGTTCATCCAACAAATAAGTTTTAGCTGGACACTAAATTAATTTGCAGTTCATGTGAATGTGTGAATGTGATATAAAAGGGAATTGTTCATAAGCATATCCTATGGCACTCAAAACAACTCAAAGAAACACCTCAGATGACTAGTTAATTTATTTGCAACTCTATTGAATTCCTCTTCAATACCATGCAATTAAATGTTAACTTCAAGATTAGTGATACTCCACAATTGTTCAAAAGATCACCATTGCTACATCCAAAGAAGCCAGATATGCAAGTAAAGGAAAGTAAGAGGAGATGAGTCTAGATGCAACACTTAAAACATACAAATTTAAATTAAGTTTAACACACACTCTACTTGCAATATTCACTAAGGTCATATAGGTAATAGATCTCTCAAGTATAATATTTAAAACGTTTAAAGCACAATATAATAGTTTACAAAATAACAAAAGTAAAGATGTTTCTCAAACTATCACTACTCACTTTCAAAATAACAAAAGGAGGATTCTCAAAGTAATAATAACTTTCAATCATCAATCATTTCCGAACATAACCTTTCCAAAACTCATTTGCAACATATATAATATAAGCACAGAGAAATACAATTTCATATTTGTTCATAAACACTCCCAGGATATAATATAGATATGGAGGAATCAATAACATCATATACATAGCTCATTATATAATATAATCATTTCAAGTACAGATATTCTCAAATTCATTCTCATTATATATAATACAAACCTAAACCAAATGCCCCCTAACAGTTCAACAATCAATAATGGAGAATGTGACACTAATGATTAAATTTTAATTTAAAATAAAAAGAACTCAACATCAAAATTCTCAAAGGAAACTAGCTAAAGACAAATATGAAAAAGCATCTGGAATTAAACCATAAACCCTATCTATCCCTGAAAGAAAAAATTTGATCTTTGACTGATAACTGTACCATTAGCAATTGTA